GGTGGGGAGGAGTCCCCGCCCTAGCAACGGGGAGGCCACGCCCCCTCCGCCCTAGCAACGGGGGCGGTGACGCCGCCGTAGCAACCGGGAGAGCGGCCCCGTGGTCTCCTAGCAACCGGGGGGGGAGAGACACCCCGCGTCGCAACCAGGGTGACAACCCCCCCATAGCAACCGGGTTGACACCCCCATAGCAACCAGGGTGAAGAGGGGGTGTCACCCCCTGACTGTCCCATAGCAACCAGGGTCGCCCCCGTGTCGTTGCCGTAGCAACCGGGGTGACAAGGGGGGTGACACCCCCGTAGCAACCAGGGTGACACCCCCGTGTAGTTGCCATAGCAGCCAGAGTGACAACCCGTGCCGCTGCCATAGCAACCGGGGTGTCCCCATGTGTCGTCGCCATCGCAACCGGGGTGACAAGGGGTGACACCCCCCTGTCCCTGCCATAGCAACCAGAGCGGCACCCCGTGCCGTTGCCGTAGTGACCAGGGTGACAACACCTGTCCCTGCCATAGCAACCAGGGTGACAACACCGTGTCGTTACCACAGCAACCAGGGTAACACCCCTGTCCCTGCTATAGCAACCAGGGTGACAACACCGTCTCATTACCATAGCAACCAGGGTGACAACACTGTGTCGTTACCACAGCAACCGGGGTGACACCCCCTGTCCCTGCCACAGCAACCAGGGTGACAGCCCCTGCCTGTCCCATAGCAACCAGGGTGACAACACTGTGCCGTCGCCACAGCAACCGGGGTGACAGCCCCTGCCTGTCCCATAGCAACCAGGGTGACGACACCGTGCCGCTGCCACAGCAACCGGGGTGACAGCCCCTGACTGTCCCATAGCAACCAGGGTGACACCACCGTGCCGCTGCCACAGCAACCAGGGTGTCACACCCCCACCGGGTTGTCACCGGGGCGGGGGGGTGTGACACAACCGCCGAGGCGCGGGTCCCCTCCCGGGGTCCCCTCCCTCCCTGGGGGCCGTGGGTGACGGGGGGGGGAGGGCCCGGCGAGGACCCAGGCGCCCGGGCACCCA